GCACTCGGGTCCTACAATAAACATTCCTCTTGGCACTGTGGGCTGCAGTGCCGCTACTAACGCCTCATGCGTTGCACATTAATTCACGCGATACGGCACACGCCATTTGAGACGACCAACCGTTTAAAACGACTAAAATCGCGTTTGCCTCGGACGCCTTACCGTCACAGCACGTGTCGTCGGCACGCAGGATGTGCGTAATATAGGTATGCTACCTCCCGCGATATACGTGCAGTGAGGAATGCATCTAGGTGCGCCCAGTGCCGTGTCGTCCCGGCAGTCTGAGTGAGCACCGGCCGGCGGAGAGACCCGGCCGTCCCGCCGCCGGGAAGCGACCGTCGTGCCAAGTATGCGGCGACACCGGCGACGGCGGTCCACGACGACGAGCGACTACTCGGCTGCCGAGGAACGGCGAACGACGACGACGACGACGACAACGAGCGGCGAGCGGCGGCGGCGGAGAGACTGTCGCCGTCCGGCCTACCGGTAGTGGCTCCGAAAATACTCGACTGTGCGGCGCTGGGGCACAGAGGCCGGGCGCGCAGTCGGAAACGTGTTGGTGTCAGTGTCGACCTCCGTCGGTTGGCGCCGGTGTCGGGTGTCGGGCGCACGTATGACCCCGACACAGTGGCGCCAGTGACCTCGGGGGCCCCCGGCGCTGCCTGACCTGCCCTCAGGCTGAGCCGGATTGGGGGAGGGTGGGTCGGACCTCGGCAGCTCGGTGTGATGGAAAAACAATGAAATCAGCAGGAAGAAACAAAGTGAACGGAAAATAAAGTGAAAAAATGAAGCCTGAAATATCCCTTATTATTAGACTCGTGTTATATTTATCTTGATTTTTGCCTATTATGCCTACAATAAACAATTCACCGAACGCATTTCCTCTCCAAGGATGACATAGCTCCTCTCCGAACCGCTTACTTCCCGATGACTAAAGAAATAATTTTAACGCGCTCGCACGATGATAGTTGCTCACCCTCCTTAAAACAGTTTTCCCGATCATAAACGCTCAAACCGACAGCCTCTGTCGTACCGTCTTAGTAAGATCAATTACTAAAAGTGCGTGGTTGGAAAACTATACCACCAGACTGGGTTTCTGGAGCTCACGCACAGACCACAGAGGCTCGCACCTGTCCGGCGTGTTACCTTGGGAGTGCGTTCACCTCTGGGTCAGCGGTTACAGTTCAGTGCAGGGCACGTGCCTCTGGGGATGGCCCGTCTTTATGGGGTCGAATGTCAATGCTATCACAAACTATCGTCACATTTTGATGAACGTGCTTTGGTATTGCATTGAAAGATAAACGTCTGTGTACTATGTTAGTAGGTATACCTACTAACATACAGACGTTTATCTTTCAATACAATATGTCGGTTTGTCAGACTGTCTATATGTCTGTCTAGTGTTCATCATGTCTAGCTGTCTTCCTCCTCCTCTCTGAGCCGATAAAGCACGGTGCTCTCTCTCTCTCTATCTCTCCTCTCTCTCTCTCTCTCTCTCTTCTCTCTCTCTCTCTCTCTCTCTCTCTCTCTCTTTTCTGTCTCGTATCCATTCATCTTCTCTCCCACCCCTTCTTTCTCAATTCTCACATAACACTCCACACGTGTGAAAATTATCCCTCCCGGCGCGTGTTTGGGGTCCCTCCATGTGCACGAGGCCGAGTTATCTTTGGCTAACGGCCACCATTTCTCGGGCCACCTAACGGCGAATGTTTTGTTTGTGTTCCAGAACTATGGGGCGTCCAGCTTTCGGTCGCGCTACGAGCCTGCGGTGGCGTCATCGACGTCTCGTGCATCCTCAACTACCAGGGATAGGTGGGTCTGTGGGCGGAAATTTGGGGGAATTTGGCGTAATCATACTAGGAATATACACAGAGGAAGCTTTCCGGGCCGCCGGTGAGCGTAATAGCGTTGTAGATAAGCATTGCGTATCTGTCAAGAGTTTGTAGGGTGAATATACTTGATTTCAGACATAAGTAGCTTGCAGTTATTGATCCATCTGAGGAGACCGAGACCGTTTATAAATTTAATGAACAAAAGGAAACTTTTCTTGATAATCCCGTCTCATTTTACCTTAATTTGTGTTCCATCATCCGGTAATTTTCGTGTCATGATAACGTCACCACTCGCGCACCTTGCCATCTATCTGTCATACTGGCCGTGATTGATGGGGGTCATTCTGCTTATAACACCAATAAAAAGGGTGGCTATTCGTTCTGACAAGAACGTTCAGCTGCTACGTGCTGTCCATTCTCGTATTGTACAATACTCGTAATTACGCTGTTATATAGCCCTTTTATTCACCTCTCGCTCCAACAGGTCATTATTGTCCTTGTCATGTAAGTTCGACAGTGGCCTGAGTGACCTCTCACTGACCCCTCTCCCTCCCCCATTCACATCCCGGACCGGTATGGCGCGGTCTCACCTCCGACCGGACTGGTCGAGCCGGCTCCTCCTCCCGTACAGAGTCCGACACACCGTCCTACGCCTCTCGCACTCCTCGGCGACCTCCCGGGCCGGCGCGGACCGCGACACCGCTCCGGGACGACGAGCGGCGCCTCCGGAGGCTACCAGAGCCGCTTCGGGTCGCGACTGGCAGAGCCCAAGGAGGCCAAACCGAGCTACCTCAGTAGGCGGGCCGGGAGAGCAGTGGTGACTCCAAAACGGACGGCAAGCAGAGCTACCTGAGAACGACGACGGGTGGTATTGGGAAGGCTGCGGTGGGGAAGGGCGATGATAGTTCCGCGGACGGTGATCGCTGGAATCGGCTGGGGGTGTCGCGAAACGCCCCTCCGGCCTCCTCGGCGAGGATGGCCTACCTGAAGGCGATTGGTAAAGAGCCGGAGAAGGAGCCCTACCAGCGGAAGGCGACGACTAAAACACTGCCGACTGCAGCTGATTTAGACAAAACTCCGGCGTCGTCTACGACAGCGGCGGAGGTTCGGCCGACCCGACCGACGTCTCTGCTGACCCGGCCGACGGCAGCGTCTCAGGCGGGGTCAGCGGGGTCACAGACGGGATCAGCTGCCGGGTCGAAGGCCAAGTCACCAGTGGCACCTCAGACCAAATCCCCACTCTCGCCCCGGTCCCCAGTGGTGACCGTGAGCAGCCTCCGAGCGGCCAGCGCAGCCCTCTCCCCTCCCACCACTCCACGAACATCCACCGTGACCCCTGCACGGAAACCGTCCTCATCATCATCATCAACTTCATCATCCTCATCGTCAGAGGAGGACTCGTCCTCGGGTTCTTCGGAGTCGGAGGAGGAGAGACCCTCAACGAGTACCACTACCGGTACCACAACTACAACGACGACTTCTGTGGCGACGGCACAGTCGAAAGCAGTTACGACAACGTCTACATCATCTCCATCAACAGCGACGTCAACATCATCGTCAGCATCAGCCAAAACGTCATCAACACCATCAGGAGCCCAGCCAGAGCAGCGACCCTTGCGGTTTCTCTCCAGCGGCTACTCCCCTGGCTATGCCAAGGTCGCAGCCAAGACCAACGCCGCCATCCCCCAGCCGACAGACTTCGACTTCGAGTCGCACAAGAAATACCTGGTGCGAGAGAAGCCATCGAATACGTACGCCATGTCGGCGGAGACGGCGGCGGATCTGGAGCGGGACCGGGCGAGACGCGAGGCGGAGCAGACGGCGGTGGGGACGAGCAGGACGGCTGCCCCGACCAAACAGAGTGTAGTGTCCTCACCAGCAGGCCCCGCACAGGTCAGTAAAGGAGCCAAATCACCTCTGGAGAGCATGGATCACCTGCTGGTGACGGCTCCGAAGCCATATCAGCCACCGGGGAGTGTCAGGACGACGACAAATCCTACCACTGCAGCTACCTCTACAGCTCCCGCTACTTCTGTTGCCCCAACTGCTTCTTCATCGGCAGTGCCGCCGCGCTCTCCCACGCAAACTACTCCATCGCCTCACCGCTCGCCTCTGCCGCCTCGACCCAACAAGGACTTCAGGAAGTCGACAGTGAACATGGCGGACGGTGATGCGGTGGCGGTGCGGGACCGCGGAGCGCGGAGACTAGGTCGTACTCTGAGTAGGAGCTCGTCCGGGGCTGGCCGGCGCAGCAGTGAGACCAGTGACGGAGAAGGAGCTGCCAGTCGTGGAAAGAGTGCGGTAAAAACACCCACCAGGGGACCAAGTCATGGACAGTTGTCACGAGATTCGAGTGTCGGTAATCTATCCCGTGAGTCGAGTCGTGGGAGGCTGAGTCGGGGTCCGAGTGGGTCCAGTCTCCCCCGTGTCGACCCCGCGCGGCCGCCGTCCAGGAGCTCCGCTCGTGGCGCGGCGGCGGCGAGGGGCGGCGCGGCGGCCGGCCGGCGGGACACCAGCAGCAGTGCGCGCACCACCAGTGCCACCAGCAGTAGCAGTGCTGACGAGAGACGCGTGCTGCCCAAGACACATTCCAGGACGACCTCAGGCAGCAGTGACAGCGGGTCATCGAGCCGTCCGGCGGTGCGCCACGCCGTCTCAGGGAGCTCGGTCTCGGCCCGGCGCGCGGACCGGACCGGATCACTACTGTCGGTCCGCAGCAGCGGCTCGCGGAGAGCTGTCTCCCGGGAGGCCTCCCGTCGCAGTGTAACCGCTGCCACTGCCGCTGCGTCGAGTTCCTCAGATTCAGAGGATGAGGCGAGCTCAGCGGCGTCGGTAGAGCGCCGACTGAGGAGAAAAACGGTCCGCTAATGACGTGCGTCGCTCGAACGGAGATATCGGCAAACCACCGCGGGGAGCTGCCGGCACCGACCGCTCCCGGCCCGGGTCGGCTGAGCTGCTTGACAAGCGGCGCTCTCGACACAGCTCCAGGGACGGTCTGAGCTCGGGACGATCCTCGCAGGCCGAGGAGGGCTCGTTCTGGACGTTTGACCGAGGGAACACAACTGCCGCCGACCCGAGGACAGCCTACTACCCGGTACGCCGGTTTGATTCGGAGACTAAGCCATGGTGGGCACAGGATGACAACTCATCCACACAGGACGTGAACTCTGGTACCGCTGCGGCTGATACGGCGGGGGCCGAAGCAGACCCTCTCCGGTCGGACTCGGCGCTACCCGGGGACCAGGACACCAACAGAAGGGACTCCCTCGACCTTGCGACGGGGCGGCACAGTGCAGGACAACCCCGCGTACGTCCCACGGCCTGTCGACTCCAGTGCCGCTGTCTGGTGGGACCTCAGCGAGAATAAATTCAACGAGGATGCTCCGGCTCACAAGGAGCTCACGCCGGACGCGGAACCGGAGGTGGATCCTCGCTTCCAGGCGTTTCCCGTACGGAGAAACCTGTCCGAGCCTCGCGCCTGGTGGGAGGATGATACTGGGGAGGAGGCTGAGCCCCCACCTCGCCAGCCGCCGGCCTCTCTATCGCCGGCACCAGTTCGATTCCGAACCGCTAACGAAATGCTCGGCATCTATGACGACGATAATGACGAATCGAGCAGCGAGTCGCGACCGAGTGCGGCTGACGTCGACGCGCGGCTATCCAAGCCGGTACCGTCGGCCCTTCCCGGTCCTCAGGAGTCCGTGAGCTCCTCCACAGAGACGGAGAGCTCGAGCTCCGACTCGGGGTCGTCTGTCTACCAGGACGTCGGCACAGAGGAGAGTAGTGCTGACGAGGAGCAGGGTGCCGCCCGTTCCGACGCCGACCTGCGCTTCTCGCTGTCCATGGTACCGGCGGCGGGCAGTGACGACGACACGGGCTCCTCGGCGACTCAGTCTGGATCCTCGGCGGCCGTCGCAGCCTCGGCGCTGGCCGCCGCCGCTGCCGCTGCCGACGTGGTGTTGGCGTCTGACTTTGTGTTCCAGCCGTGTCAGAGAGACTCGGGGTACGGCACGGCCGACCGCGGCTCCACGGAGGCACTCAGTTTCATCGGCGCCTGTCAGGACATTGACGCGCTGCTACCGGTGGACGGGCCGCCGCCCGAGTCGTTCGAGGAGTTCGAGCGCGCTGTGGCCAGTGAGGAGGTACCCACCAGCGCGGCGGGCGGGTCGGAGGGACAGGAGTGTGCCGACCCGTCTGCCGCCCTCAGCCCCAGCGAGGAGGAGCGCCGAGCCGCCAAACGCAACCTCTCCCTGTTCATAAGTGAGTTGGAAAACACGGGGGATGGGGGGGGGGCTCGTACTTTTAAGGTTCCGATGCCGAGCTATTTCAAACTAAACTGGAGTCGGCAGGTAAAAAGTGATACTAACGAGACTAATTGGATTTTTCTTCTTCTGAGTTTTCATTATGCGTCGCTCAGCACTCATTTGTTATTAGCCGTTTTCACGACGGACTATCCGGCGAGTGCACCTAATTTGACCAAATCTGCACCTAATCTCTTTTACACCAAGTACCTCTATTTTATGCATTTATTTCAGTTATTTCAGATGATACTTTCTGATATTATGACAAAGCAGGCATATAAGAACTTAGTGCAAACTTAGCTGATAGCTACTAAGAGACACTGAACCTAATTTGACCAAAGCTGCGCCTAATCTGCACCAAATGTGCACCAGATGTGTACCAGATGGCTGTCGTGAAAACGGCTATTATTACTTCATGAGCGGCTGCGGCAATACAAGTAGCACAGTGTTGTCATTTATTTATAAAGCGACATCCGAGTGCATGGTATGCTTGCCATTCCGGGTGTGATTATTGTCAGACGGCGGACCTAAATAGCCAGTCAGCCACCAGACCTCACCCTTTTTGTCCTCTGTGGTAAGTGAAAAGCGCCCGGTCCGTTTCACCGTCTATGTTTACTGTCTGTCCTGCGGTTCCATTACGCAACTGCGGTGGCCGACGGTGCTGTTTTTATACTATGCCTTCCCCGTGTTGGTGACCGAGGCAGGGTGATCATATTACTCGCGGTTTCGCGGTGGTGGCGAGCCGAACATGATACCGTCGTGGTTCTGATGGCACTGCAGGTGCCAGTCGTACCTCATAGCCAGCAGGATCACACGACACCGCGATGCATGTAACCTTTGACGATTAGCTGCAGCTTAGGTTGTTCTTATTAAAGCTTTATTAGAAGCTGTTTTGATAAGTCTTTTTTTTCTAAATTTTAAATCATTGGTCAACGTCCATCGCCCTTCTCTCGTTATGCCATTGACTGCCGATAAAATGTTGTTCTCTCGCCATCTCGGTGACCTTTGGTGACCTCCGCTGCCCTCAGGTCAGATGACCAACATTGACGAGGTTCTCGGCGTGACCTCGCCCGAGGCGACCGCTCATGAGCGGTCCGTCGCAGAGGCAGCCGCCGCAGCAGCAACCGATAAATCGAAGCATTCAGGTATGTTACGATTGTTACGATCTACGGATGGGGCTTCTCTTGAAAAAAAAACGTTTCGATCGCTTTCGATAAGTCACTTTATTTGCTATTGTAATTTCTGTTAAATTGCATGCAATACTGTAACGGAGGCTTTTGGCGATACCCTTTGAAGCGATTTTTACGCTTGACCCTCGGTCGTTTCGCATTGGTTTCGCAGTCGAGTCCTCGTCGAGCGGCTCTGGTTCGTCCGACTCGTCAGAAGATGGCAGCACCGGCGACGACTCGCGCCCACCAGATGCCGCGGTGGTCGATCCTTCCGACGTCGCCATTCACGAACCGAACGCAAGGTTAGCTATGCTTCTTTATTAGGAATCAATCATTTTGTTCTGCTACTACTTATGTATGTTGCTAGCAATAAACGTCCTACCCAGGAGGGAGTTTACCGATAAACGTTACACTGAGCGTGTCAGCTCCTAATGTCGCCAAAAGGACGCCGTTCACTATATGCTCCAGTACGGCAGTTAGTCACAACCGGCATGCCTGAACATCTGTCAAGTAACACTCCTCACCATCACAAAATGCCTCGTTTTCTTTTCAGAGAGGAGGCCGGCTCAAAGGAACAACAGGGAGGTGCAGGCACCGGAAAGGTAAGTCACCGAAATGCGTAGTTTGTCCGGTGTGGGGGACGGACAAGGACGTAGATAATTTGTGGCTAGTTATCGGTGAAAACTGAACAATTGCAGTTGCTGACACCTTTACAGGCTCTTCCCCAATTAATGTCTCCAGCTAGTTCCATGGAAGTAGACTACAGACATTCCTACGGAACAATGAACGACGATGATCGTAAAAATTACCACATGACATTTATGATGGTTGTGACCCTAGTCCACGGAGTTGGACACGAACTTCCTCTATAAAATCATAGTGAAACATTTATTCGGGCAGTGAACAGAGAAGAGCACGTGCTTTTTGACCCGCTGGTCACCAGGTCGATCTTTCACTGCGCTTGCGTTGTTAACGAACATATATAGGTCGTTGTCCCGGCTTTAGGTTTTCTACGCTTCCAGCGTTTCATCGGTTGCTGGGTGGCAATGCAATCAAAACGACCTATGCTGTATTGAAGCATTTTACAATTATATGAACAGGACAAAATTGTAAAACAAGAACCCGCGCGGGGCTGGGGGGGGGGGGGGTAGATTTTACCCCTCCTCGCGAATTTTTGCAATATCTCGAAAACGGCGGCGCGCAGCGCCGCCAAACTTTCAGTACCTTTTCTTACATCAATTTGACACGTTCCCTGAAAATTTGAGCGAAATCCTTCGGAAATTTTTTGAGGAAATGACGTTTTAGTGACGTCATGTTCGCCATTTTCGCCTCAAAAACGGCAAAATTTCAAACGCCGCTAACATCTTCATTTTTAACACGCGCAGTGGAAGGGGGGGCGGATTTCGCCCACCCCTCCTGTTTTTCGCCAATAACTCGCGCCGCAAGCATAATATCAATGTGAAATTTCGGCTACCTGTCCAGAATTGAATTGCGGATCTTCTCGTGCAAGAAGTAAGAAAATCGGTTCACAACTTTTCTAGTAATAGCGGTGTAAAGTCAAACATCCTGCCGCCGCGGCGGCGCGGCGGCGCGGCGGCCGGCGCTAGCCGTTACGCGCCGCCTGAATTATAGACTGTGCCGGGGCGGGACGGTTCCGTCTTTACATCGCGCTCCTTACCGCTGATTAAATTAGATTCGCGTCAAATTCGGTGAGAAGACTGAGAAATGTACAGGCAATCATATGGTCAAAGAATTTTGAAAATCGGCCGGTAACAACTTGAGTTATGAGTGTGTAAACACAAAATTGTGATTGCCGCGTTTCCCGCGTCGGCCGATGCCGCCTCAGCCGGCGACATCTTACCCTTCGCAGGCTTCTAACTGCCATATTTATTGTTGGATTATCTAGAAATTCACCATACATACTCACAAATGTTTGCTCTTTCGTATAGTGAAAGATTAAAAAAATCGGCCGGTAACTTTTTGAGTTATCGGCGTGTAAACGCAAAAAAGTCGCTAATATGGCAGATTTGACCACATTTGACCTCATTTGACCTTGAAGATATTGACCTAGGGTCATGAAATTCACACACAACAGAGTTCCCCATGGCCTCCACCTACCCTTCAAATTTCGTTTTTCTAGCTCCAGTGGGAGCTGAGATCTTAGGGGGGGGGGCGACATCCGCCCCCCCCCCCCTTCCACTGGGCGTAGTACTCGCAACCCTTCCACTGCGCGTGTTAAGGGAATCAAGACGTAACAAAAAAGGTTGTACGTGATTTTACTTTGTCTATCAAATGGCTATCTCGGTTTTTTGAAAATATTGGATTTTGGCCCAAATTTTTCAAAAAAAAACTGACTTTTTTGGGAAAATAATTATAAAATCCAAAATTTTGAGTGTATCGAAAAAAAAAACGGAATATATGTCAGAGAAGTGGTCTATGTGCACCTACATGTCAATTTTCAAAAGAATCGGTTCAAAAATGAGGAAGTTATTTCAAATTTTATGACGTCACGACACATAAAATTTTTGAAAAATGATTTTTTTGAAGTTCTAGACCTCGTACAAAAACAAAAATAGCACCATTCGATTCGCCGTGAAAAACTACATCAGATAGACACCTTTTTAGGCCTTAACCCTCGCCCGCACATGGGGGGGGGGGGGTGGTTGCCACCCCCCAGGTAGTCTTTCTGCTCTGCACTCAACATTTTTAGAGCTAGAAGGCTGATTTTTTGTATAGCTGCTCCTCTATCCTTTCTTGATGGCCACTGAAAATTTCAAGTTTCTGTGGTTTTTGGTTTTGGAGATATGACCTTGTTTTTCAGGTCATGTCATGACCCAAATGGCCAATTCTCAACATCTTGCGTTGGCTATGGGCCTTGTGAGCTTTTAACACCTTGATTTCGGCCTTTTATGCCAATCCTACCTCCCACTTATCATGAAACATGTTGTTCGACGATGTACAGAGGTCAAGGTCAGGGTCAAGGTCAACCTAGGTCATCTAAGATAATTGCGTTTTAGGCAAGCTGAATTTACTTTTTTTTTGAAATTTTTTGACTAGGGGAAGCGGGGGTAACACCGCCCCCCTAAGCTTTTCGCCAAAATGAGAGAATATGTTTGAAGTCTCTTGGTAGTTATTGTCTTGGTTACAATATTTAAACATTTTCTCACGTGTTTTAGGTACTTATTTTGCATGCTCCTAAAAGGTTTTCATGTATCACGACTTTTAAAAATACCTTGCATATTTGCCGCCTACAAATTGTGTGGGTAACCCCGCCACCGGTGTTGATGTTAACCCAACCCATTCCTACGAAAGCTTTTAATTGTTCAGAGATCGCGTGCGATGAGTTTCCTGTCGGTAAGTGGTAATTTTCGCAAATAATCGGTAATGGACACCTAAATAGGTATAGGTTGATTAGCTGTTTGCCAGTTTTATACAGCTGGCAAGTGCTTGGTCGGGATGCATGAAAAATATAAAGTAAAAAATCAAATAAGCTGCTTATTCCCGACTTAGGAACATCTACGAACATAAATAAAGCGTGTCTTTGGAGTTTCGTCACTTATCACGCTACGAACAGGAAACACCGCAACCTCAATCGGGGTAACACCGCCACGGGGTGGCGGTGTTCCCCAATAAGTGATCACAAGCAAAAATCGCCAGCGGCAAGAATGTACTACACGGTTCAAGCAAACCTTTCTTACTGGACAAAGCCGATCAGTTATTTTTCGATGTAATCAAGTAAATCAAAATGAGTCTCTACTTAAAGACATTCAAAAGTGCTCCCAACTCATCGAATTTTTATAAGAGAATGTGCATTTTTCTTTAAATGCCCACATTGAGCTTCGATTACACTGAAACACCGGAACACAAATCAGAAGACGCTTACCTTCGTGCGGTTAATAGGAAATAACGGATTTTTACACTTCACATTTCATACTTTCGCCGCCAGATGGGGTGGCGGTGTTTCCCACAGTGGCGGTGTTCCCCCCGCTTCCCCTACATTTTTGGTAAAAGCTTCTCAGATCATGATTTCATGTAATATGGACACATAAACAATCGGTGCACACATCAGTATACACACAGACGCACACAGACATACAAACACATATTATTGACCTTGACCTAACTTGACCTGAGATGACCTCAGCAGCAAAAACCTGGTCGGGTAGTGTGACAAAGAGGTTTTAGCTGGCTTGGCACCAGAAAACGGCATCGTCATCGGTATATGACAAGCAGCGCGCTTGATATCCAACGGTGACCTAAAACAGCAACATTTTTTAGTTTGACCTGACCTGGAAGATCATGACTGACCTGAGAAGGTAAAACTGGGTATCATTGGATTCGTCTCTTCCCAAAGAATCTTTTTGGTCCTTACCGCTAAGCTCTATCTCCAACAGGAACGAAATGGCGCGGGGGGTGGCCATCCCCCCCCCCCCCCCATGTGCGTTCTGGGATGGGAAAATGGCATGTGCGGGCGAGGGTTAACAACCAACTTCAAAATTTGACCTCACTTGACCTGACCTTGACCTGACCTTGACCTGAAATTCATCCAGAGGTGGTCCATATCACTTATTGAGTGTACCTATTGAATTCTATGAATAAAATGACCCATAAAACATGTGTCGCACATGCCCTTTTCTATATTTTGTTTTTGGTGACCTGACCTGACCTGACCTGGCCTTGACCTTGACCTCTGAATGATATTGTATGCAACGAATATTGTCTTGGTAGCCTAAGAACACGTTTTGGGCAATCAGTCTCAGTCCATGACTCCATTCTTCAGCAACTACGGTGCAAGGCCGATACTGTAGAAACTTGCAATTTGTACCCTTGACCTGACCTTGACCTTGACCTCAAACTTTAAATTAAGTACATGTTTTTAGTTTTTCGTGATGAGATCTTTCGATTGGCGTTTGAATTTTCCAAATCGGACCATTAGTTCGGGAGATGACAGGGGGGGGGGGTAAAATTTACACCCCCCAGCCCCGCGCGTTCGCCTGGAGACCCCAGCCCCGCGCGGGTTAAAGCAAAAAATATTTAGTTGTATCTTTCCGGTTTTTCGGTGCACAGGTATTACGAAATGATGTTTTTTTTGCAAACCACTTTTTCAGTGATCCATATGCGTAAGTAAAGTAATCCTTAATTAATGTTATTGTAAGCCCGAACCTATTTTATGTCCATATGGCTATGTTTTGCATTTCTATATACAGTTCGGGGGCTTTGAGGCCGGCAAACATGATCGCTGGCCGTAGTATCGTCCGTGTGTTTTGGGACCACTCTATTATCGAGTCGTTTGTTATGTCTGGCGCTGCCCCCGCTTTTATACGGCGGCTAAATTTCACCATCCATCTGACTCATGAGCCTCAGGCCGGTGTTCTCAACTCTGGACAGGTGCGGGGGCGGGACGGTCTGTTTTGGCCGAGAACTGGGCCAGAATGTTGGCCTTTGGCGGGGCTCTCAATTAGTGTGTTGTGGATAGACTGGTCTTTGGAGGTCACTGGGCATGAGTGCTGTTATTTTAAGTAGAACGTGATGGATCGGCAAAACCTTATCGACCAGTCCTCTTCATTTTCTGTATCATAAAAATAGTACTTTTTAGTTCGAGCATGTTTTCTTCGAACGAACAGATTTGTTCCATGGGTGTCTTTATGCGCCATCAATGTTTGAATTAACCGTAACTCTAAGACTACATAGGCCTCTGCACTCCCGGGCGGCGGCTGCCGTCTGTGGCGCTAAGGGTGGCCTGTTTTGATTGGTCGGTTTGTTTTGATCTGACACTGTGCAGACACAACTCCACTCTGATGTTTGGAGCGTGATTCATCGTCCACTGTCCACTGGTCCGAGTGTAGACTCCCTTTTGGACCCTGCACTTCGGTTCCGATGGTTAAAGCTACTCTTAAGTTGTAAGTGCGTGAAAAATCGACAAAGAATCACACCTCTGATTGATATGCCCTAAAACGTACGCGCTTCAGGTACCGAGTAATATCACGATGGCCGTAATTTCGGTCCTTTTCCACTTTGCTTCCACTCCTCCGTTAACGCTGACAGCTATATGCAAATGGGCATGGGCTCGGAATCACAATTTCGTAACGTTTATGCGAAGGCGCCAATATCTCGTGACGGCCTTGCCATGGTATTGAAGACAAGGGCAAACAGCTGACGTTGCATGTTCAACAAGTTTGCAACATCAGAGGAGCCGACTAGTTCCGCTCAAGCAACACCATGTTCAGCCTTGTTTGAAGTGTCCGAGAATCGTCGCGCCAAACAAGAGAGCAAACCGCTCGATGTAGAAGGCCGTATAGCTCGTCACCTGTCTCCTTGAGCTGGGTCACTTCGACTACATTGGTCTCGGACGGAAGCTGGTGGTCTTCCACCCCTGTTATTATCCCGTCCCCGAAATTGGAGCTGCGCTTGTGTCCACGAGTCGTGTGCTCCCTGCTCACCTCTGATTACATGACCGTGACCTCAGTCCGGCCCGCTCCGACTAGTGTTAGTCCAGAATGGTCAGAGAACGTTCCCAGCTCATCGCTGTGCGGTTGACACCCTGTCGCCCCTCTGATCTGCATTTTAGCGGCCCTCTGTTCAACCAAGACCGGTTCAGTCCGCGGCAGGGCAGATCACCGCCGTCGATATCGCTCCGTGCACCCGCCAGTCTTTTTGTCCCCCTGAAGACAACGGCTCTGCCGAGCTGCCAAGGTTTAGGCGGTAAAAAATGTTTTCACGACGGGTTAAATTGTTATCTTGGGGAAGCATAATTTGTCTGTGCGCTGACCTACTAACCCAGCGGCAGCGGAAGTTTGAGCTGAATTCAAACCAGTCTTTTTGTTCGCAGATGATTGGTCCAATTAGGCCAAGATACGAGTACACTTCTCCCAATGGGTTTAACGGGTGTTGAGTCGTGTTTGTTTGATCGCAACTGATCAGTAACCTGCCGGACCAGTTTCTGATGCAGCCCTCTGATTCGCGGTAGCCTCGCCGGATATCTGTTTCGCCACATCGTACCCTTCCATTCAATGCTCCCAATCGTCCCACCTTTCGCTGCACCACCACTCAGACCGGTTGGAGCGTTGACAGCGGAACGGTGAGCTTCCGGGCGCCGCCCTCGCCCCTGTCGGCTCCTCGAGCAGTTGATTACATCAGTGTCTCCATGCTCCGCTCAGTGAGTAGCATGAACAACAACTGCACGCTATTCTGGCGCCTATGCCGCCTGCACTCGCCTTCATGAATGGACGGCCGACCTCAACGATTAATGGCGAGGGGAAGAAAGGTAGATCGTTGCTTCTTCTTAGATTCAACAGGGGATAAGGGAATAAGAAACGTTTAAGAGAGCTGGTTCAAGTGATGCCTGATGGTGAGAATCTTGTTCAATACGGCCATTTCCATGTCTCTGAAGGTTTGTAGTCGACTGACTGTCACAGTCGCATGCGCCTGGTGCTTTATCCTTCAGCTAGCAAACTGCTCAAGCATGATTAATGCGTGGTCCTGTATCGCTGATTTTAAAAGTCAAGTAGCGGCGCTAAACATGGCGTTTTCTGAACAGCTGATGTCATGGGATTAGTGTGATGTAACACAGCTACACATTCCTGATTGCAGTATTCGGCACCGTACAGCGTCCATTTACTACGGCACCGAAAAACTTATAGTGAAACACTTGTCCCGTAGTGTGTCGGCTCTTTTGAAACAGCGATTGGTATCCGACCTTCGGGCACGCGACAATACGGCAAAGCCAACTGCGCCATGTGGGCATATATGCCCTAAAATCTGTTCGTGTTCGTCGTATTTTAGTGTTCTAAGAAGAGCATTCTTTCCCAAGGAATGCTCATATTTTTAATTTACAACATATTTCATTCATATTTACGAGGATGTCTGGTTTTCCGAGGATCATCTTTCTCTTACGCGTATGTTTATCACTTTCTTTTTTATTCCTTCATTCGCTACGTCTTATTCTGAACTGCTCCATTTCAATTAACCGACCGATACCTACTCCGCGCGCCTGCTGAATATCAATAACTCGCACCGGCCGCCCTAAACACACCGTGTATGTCATTTGATCGCAGTATCGCTCGCCTCGGTGGTGTATCACTAGCCACAGACTGCGTGGTCGCCGGTCAGTAACATGAGACACCTCGGTCCTGTGTCAGGTCAGGACGGGACTGGTGGTTTGAGCCGGCAGGTGCTCTCTGTTGTGGGACCGAAATTATTTACCTAGCTGGGCCTTGTTGTGGAACTAAAGCCACATTATGTTAGCGAGTATCATTATTGTTTGCTTTAAACGGCACTACAGTTCACAAAGAATCGAAATACGAGATGTTTTATTGGAGAAACTTTTTTGAAGATATCCCCCCCCCCCCCAGCGTCGAAGGCCGCCTTTCTGGATCCGATCATGTTCCCCTTTATCTTTTCTTCATTTTACTTATGGAATGGGACGAATTCTGCTCTCTATGAATGTCGAGGAACTTGTAATCGACCTCTGAACGTTTTCGCGGATGGTAAGCGGATCTGCACATAACTGGTAGTTACTTATTTTTCATTATCGCTGTGAACAAAGACAACAATGGTGGCGTTCGATTCATGGTTAGTGTTCGATTGCGGATGGGGTGGTTACGTCATTTCCCGTGATTTCGATGGCACCAAATGTCAAGCACAGAATACAATGCATCATGATGTGCATACAATGCTCTCACTCACTTACCATTGGTCTTTGTTGTAACTGACGTCCAAGCCCAGCGATCATAAAGTTGGACTGAATCCATGTAAAAGGGCCAACATTTTTAATCCCGCCACGGAACGATTTTGTTGACTGTGACTAAAAACGACAAAATTAAGGAAATGGTCACCAATATACGCGTCTTTATATTATGAGTAGTGTCTCGGCGATCTGTTAAAGAAATTCAAATTCAACTTTTTGGGGGTGACAAGGGCAATGTCCCTACGTCTGTTATGTAACTTAGGCAATAGGCATCCAGCTGTTGAACCGCGGTGATCTTTACCCAGAGCGGCCTGTGATTGAAGTCGCGTTATTATGACAGCTCTGTTACACTCTGGCCGTTGACGAAGGAAGATAAGCGATTGAGCTCCAAATTCAGCAATATTTCACAATCGTTGTTTACTGAATTCGTGATTGCGATATTATACAACATGCATATTAGGCTATTCATATGTACCAGCACACACACCTTTGCTTGAAGCATTAATGTGCCGACTACTTGTGACGGAAATCGCCTCCCAGAGTCCAGCTCCACAGTTCAGTTATCAATGTGCTGGCGCTAAGATGTTGTCCCAGGGTTTGTCGTCCAGCCGGTCGTCGGATTATTTATAGTACTGCATGGCCATCCAGTGATTCTCGCTGTTATTCGACTGCAGTCCGCCCGATCTTTCGTTTGACCACTCGGTCACAGGACCTCGATAAGCGGGAGTCCTGATTTACAGGTCACAGTTGCACTCATTCTATCATTCGGCGATATTGGTCTATCGGTCCGGTCCATAGTTTATCTTCGCTCTCAGTTCTATTGTCACGGGTCACCCAGGTGATCCTCAGCTCGGTCACCCGTTCAGCTTCGATCACTGTGCCAGGACGCCGGTGAGTCACCTCTCAAACAACCCAGACAGACAGAGGATTACTGCTGCAATCAGCTGCCGCGCAATCATCCGGCAGACATACCCGGGCTGATAGGCCGGCGCTGGATAACCGATACACCCACCTGTTGGTTTTGTCAATCCACCCCACCGCCTCCGCCCCCGCCCCGCGCCGCCGCCCGGCGCCCGGCGCCCGGCGCCCACCCACCTGGTCCAACTGCGGCTGCGCAGTGCGCATGTCTGCTGAGGGCGGGGGCGGCCTGGACCGCTGCTGCTGCTGCCGTCTTCTGCTGCGGTGTGCGCTGGCCGTCAGCTGTTCGAGTCGACCGGCGGCGGCGGCGGGCGGCGGCGCAGTCAGTTGCACGCTGTCTTCGGTGGGTGCATGGCACGGCAGTGACGCGGCGGCGGCGCGGCACGAGGAGGTGGTGTCAGTGTGGTGCTGTGGTGGTCGGGGAAAACGCAGATTTCGGCATTTGGTGTGAGGGCGTTTTGGAGGTGGTGAGCACTTCGCCCTGAACTGCGAACGGATTTGTGCAACATATCTCGCACCTTACTTAGACAGTTTGTGATGCATCTTGTCACCTAAGCATTGAAGACGTAGTGATTAAATGCTTGCCACCGTGCCGTAACCTCCTGCGAGTGACTGTCGACCTCTGACTGACTGCATCTCCTCCTACCGTCCACCATGAAGATCAGCTACGTGACGTGTCGGATCCAGTTTCTGAACGACGTCGACCCGTTCGGGTACAGTGCCGGTCTGGAGCCCACCCGGCCTCCCTCCTATGTGTTCAACACGCGCCTGCCGCTGGGGAACCAGCTGCCCAGCGTGCACCGTCAGCTCATGGCGCCACAGAAGGTGAGCCGAGGGCTGGAGAGGGAGATCAAGGTGGTGAAGATGGAGCGGTCATGGGCTAGGCTGGAGGGTTATAGGGGGATGAGAGGACAGCCCGGAGGGCGACTGAAACAAGTCGCAGGCTGCCGGGCTGTACCGGCTGCACTCTGGGGAGGATGAATTCGAACAGTATCTGGTTTTAAAGTTGTGAATTTTTTTTCGGATTTTTTTATTGATAAACGTCAACATTGAAGAACCCACCAGATATAAATGGTTACTTTTTGTTTGCTTATTCATGCTTCGGCAAAGGAGACTTGCATATCAGCCACACCCTTCAGTGCAAATCAGCTGATGTCAGTTTTCCTCAAAGCCTGTCGAACGGACACCGTTGACAGATCGTATCTGTCTGATACAAGGAGGGGCTGCCGACCGACCTGTACCCATTCAGGGAGGCCCCCTCACGATCTGTGGTATATGGGGGCTCGGTAACCGGTCAGAATCACTGGGGAGCGGCTGACCGAGCCTGTACACACGCCCCCTTCTCCGAATTGGGTCGACGATCCGTCTACTTTCCATGGGAGTTGGCCCTCACGGCTGAGTCATGTCCAGAGCGCAGATATCTGTTGCAGCAGATGATCCTATCTCTGTTGTGTTGCAACAATATGGGATCGATTTGCGTCATCAGCTCTGTATGCATGTAGTTGTATGCACCTATGTAGCTTTCGACTGTCTTCCGTAATATTTATATTCGAGTGAAGGTTTGGATTACTATTGTTTACGTCATCGCCTTCTGGTTTTCTAAGGCGAAACGCCAGAGAAAAGGTCTCCAAAATGCTGCCTGTACTCGATCTTCATGGCTAGTAACGTGTGTGCGTGAGGAACTGCCATCTTAATTAACGGATAACGAAGCATGCATATTACTCTGATATGGCGGTTAAAGCAGCGAACTAAGTTGGTCTGGTTAGCTCCACCGGTCCATGGTCGGAATAAGTCTCATTTGTACGGAATATGAGTTGCCCGGCGAAAACCTGAAGCGCATGATTTTCACCGCGCCAGCTGAGCAGTTGGGCCGTTTCACGTTTCCGTGTCTCAGTTCACCCTTTCCACTGAGGCCGAGAGATCTGGGTTAGTCTGTCACCCGCAGTCGGATGATCCTAATTCCTGACAGCGCTTTGATCCAGCTCAGCGATGCACCGACCGCTGCTCCAGTTGTGTGCAAAAAGAATAACGGAGACGTTCAGACCCTTTGATGTTGATGACGGCAATAGTTCGATCGGCTTATGATAGCTGTGATACGTAACCGGGTTTGTAAAGGGGGCAGGTGAACTAGTTTTTATATTATACCGGTGTCCGGTACGACTTGATGTGATGCTGCTAATTTTGAGCTTTGCTATATCCTTGTGGCCTCGTTGTGGCAAAGGTAAAATCAGTTTTAGCGTGAGCATGACCGCTTTCTGGGTGGGTATTCCGTTCCGTTCTCATAACACCTAGTCGTTCCGCTACCGTTCCTCTACTTTTACTTCCGGCATTTTCTGAGCAGTCCATAGTTTGGATTCCTTTTTTTTTGCTCCTAAATCGGGCGACCTGTTCTTCACTCTGAGTTCGATAATGTGATTGCCATCACAATGAGGTTGAGGAGGTTCCGAGTCTTGTCAAAATGCTACTGTCGCACGATTGACACTCATAATGCCACGTTTCCTGTGCTTCCGATGCCTTTTTGATACAACCGATAACGCCTCTTCATTGCATTTCTCAAGTCTTATAACAGGGGTGACCAGCAGCGTTGATTCCCGATAAGCTTAGTCGCCCATAAAAACACAGTTTGTCTCCCGTTTTTGTTTGTTTCTTTCCTGGACATGTGTCGCGCGCCCCCGAAGCGTGCGACACTGATGTCAGAATTCGTCCTGGCCGCTACTGGTCCCGTTCGTGGTAAGGTAAGCCGATATACTGGACAGCTATATCAGGAAAAAGGACGGGGAGCTCCATGTGTCCACTTGGAGACAGCAATTTGCCCTTCTCCGTAGAACTAGGGAGGTTGGCAGGACGTGACATTGTCTTTTTAGAGGCATAATAAACTCGTTAAGGTATAGATAGTGCCGTTGACTATATTGGGCCATTCTGATTTGCCTCGTTCTGAAATATTATGTGAGGTCTGAGGCGACGATGAAACTCGTCTCTCTCTCTCTCTCTCTCTCTCTCTCTCTCTCTCTCTCTCTCTCTCTCTCTAATATTTCAGACTATTAAAAGTTTAATTTGGTCGTTGGCAGTGACAGTCCTTATAACGATGAAAAAAGCGTCCCATAACTCAAAAAGCTCAGGCACTCATTTTCAAAACAGACCCTCCTTTCTCGCGTAACTCACCGTTCAATGAATGCTCAGTACCGCTCAGTCATGGCACTGCAGGCGCCTTCGCTGCGAAAATAAACGCACCTCCCGCCCCAGCTCTCAGTACCGCCTGCCAAATGATACAACCGGCGGCGGTGGCCGACGGCTCAGGAAGTGACCGGCAGCTGCACGTGCCACGTAGTACTGTCGCTACCGACGCAATCGACGTTGCTACCGACGCCGGTCAGTTGGGTGGTAACGTCAGGCGCGGGGGAGATATCGCCACAGGCTGTGGTGGAGGTACGGGTCTGCTTTGTGCTCTGGTTTCAGCGTAAATATTGGATCAGTCAGTAGAGGTGCTGTGACGCATTGACAGCTGGGCTGGCCGAGACATGGACTGTGTCGGGGCTGGTGTTGATTGCAATTAGCAGGCGCAGGCATTCGTCTGTTTCTAGCTATTACATTCTTCTTAACAATGCAGCATCGTGCTCGAAAGGCTTTATAGCTGCTTAGCAACGAGCCATAAGCGGTCATCCCACATCAGAGTACCGAATTCATCAAAAGCATTGTTTTGCTGGTCTATGGCACTTGAACGTTATAAAGTTAGCGTTAGAGCTATCAAAAAGACCATTCATAATGGTCTATGTCATTTCCGTTTCACGAATCAAGGTGAGTTCCCGGCATCGTTAGCTATTTCCGACCAATTACCGAATTTCTGTCGGCGATTACGATCGCTGGCGTGTGCCGGCCCGTCGCGCGGTGTTCAATCTAATCATTAACCCGTTTGTCATGCAACGACGGACCATTTTTGTGTCTGATGGCTGCATAAACTGTTTTTGTGAGGATCATGAAGCGGCGCCCAGCGCTGTGGGACGACGCCACAGGTCCAGTTTGGACCGAGTTCTAGTCGTGATCGCGTGAGGACAGAACGACGGCGGCAAGACTCTGGGTGCGACCGACCGCCCACCCGACACTAAGGGCGGCTGATTAGGGTGATGGTGCTTGATGACGCCTGATGGCGGCTGATGACACCTGATGGCGGCTGATGACGTCTGATGAGATGACACCTGATAAAGTCTGATTAAGTATGATGACGCTGACCGCTCCCCAGTTCTGACGACGTCTGATTCCATGCCTAGGTAGCAGACCCAATACTGCTTTTTGTGCAGCACGCCGCAAAACATAAGCGAGGCGGAATAATTACGGGCAGTTGCGAATCTAGTGAATGCGCAATGTTGGTTGACCGGATCGTCGTTTGCTGGGAGAACAGTCGACCGGAGTGCTGTTCACGGGCACCTGCGGTGACTGCGGTAGCTGCGGTAGATCGCAGGCTGAAAGTCCCGCCCACTTGTGTATACGTCATCACGCGTTCGTCTGCGGCGGCTGTGTCAATTTTGCGCCCAAGTTACACGAATGCGCAACTGCCGCGCCACTTTGTATGACAAATGGTTCCTGCGGCCGCTGCGGTCGGATCGTTTCGACCGCAGGAGACGCAGGCGACCGCAGCCGACCGCAGCCGTATGACGTCACACCACCCGCCCCATCCCCACTTTCTGTGACGTCATTACCCGGCTGACCGCCGAGCCGCAGCTACCGCAGCTACCGCAGGTGCCCGTGAACAGCACTCAGGCTTTACCATGCACCCTCCGAGCGACCTTCGTGACTCATTCATTCGTGACTCGTGTGTCCGTGACTCGTGAATGGCGTGGGGACTGTGCACTGTGCACCAGGTCAATAGCTCATGCACACAATGTGCACGATGATCGGTCTTACCTCATTGGTTGGACATGTCGCGCTGTTGTCTGTCGAATCGTTTCGAGTGTTTGATCAACGTCAAGTCCCGAGGCTTTTCGCGTCTTGACACTTTCGCCACCGCGGGCCGAGCTCGACTCGTAGCCGTTGAGTCATGGAGTCGTTGAGTCATGAGTCATGAGATGCAGCCTGCAGGTGCAGGTACTCGGCGCGGTATCAGCCAACGGTCGACGGTGGCGTGCTTTTCAACTGTGAGAGACGACACGTGGCTCAAGGATGCTTCGCACGGACGAATAAGTAACCACTCTCTGATGATATGAGGTGTCATGTGTCTAGCGTTTCTGTTAGTTCTTTTGGATATTTATGGATACATTTGCAGGAGATGCCAGACTGTTTTCCGACTGTCACATCAGTTCGTGAAGGATATTTTATGGTAATCTAAGTCTGGCACGCCTTTAGCTCTGAGCTCTCACCTTTATTAAGCTTGTCACATTGTACGACATGCTAATTGATGGACTCATTTATCAATCACCCATGCTCACAGTCTAGCATTTCGCACATGCTTGTCTCGATTACATGCCCATCAATTTTACCCTGGTAATTACATTCTAATCACATCCTAGCCCATGCAGTGATGTCGCATGGCAACCAGCGCCCTGCTGTATACGTTATTCAGCCAGTGACGTTAAACACGGCAGGCTGCTCTGTTTGGGACCGTTCACTGCCTCCGAGCCTGCTGAACAGATAGCTGGATCTCCGTTAGTAACAGTGATCACATGATCACACGACGGATGCAGGCTGCGTTTTTAGGATTCAGCTGATCGCTCTGATGTCAGGAGGGTTGAGATGGGTGCGGCTAATTGTGGGCTACGCTTTTGCGAAACTGCCAAGTTTGGCAGCCCAACTCGACCAAAGCGAGATACCACAATCAGCCGCACCCCACCCTG